TGCATGCATCAAGCTGTTCGGTAGCACTGGATTGGGCCATTCCCTGTTTAAAAAGATTGTAGCACTTGATAAGACCATTGGCAAACAACATCTGAATGTACATGTCAAACATACAGCATTTGTGAAATCTTTCAAGTATTTAAAAATCCACTATAGATGATAGATGATTAGATAGATGATAGATAGATAGATAGATAGATAGATAGATAGATAGAAAAATAGATGATGGATAGACAGATACAAAGATGATTACATAGATAGATGATAGATAGAAAGATGATTACGTAGATGATAGATAGATAGATGATAGATGATAGATAGATGATAGATAGATAGATAGATAGATAGATAGATAGAAAGATAGATGATGGATAGACAGATAGAAAGATGATTACATAGATAGATAGATGATAGATAGATAGAAAGATGATTACGATGATAGATAGATAGATATATGATAGATAGATAGATAGATGATAGATAGATAGATAGATGATAGATACATAGATGATAGATGATAGATACATAGATGATAGATACATAGATACACAGATACATAGATGATTGATAGAGAGATAATAAATAGTTAACTAAAAGGAAGGGGGAAAGAGGGAAGAAAGAATGGAATCAGAGTACCAGGACTGTGTCAGAAAATCTCAAGATACAACCTAAAGACACTCTCACTGGCCAGGGAGGATTATGCATCAATAACTATGGATTAAAGCCATCAGATGTGATTAACTTGCTAGAGCACAATTTTCATCATTGGTCACGTTCACTGCAACTAAGGAAACATCTTCAGCTGAAGCAAGGGAGAGAATGAATGCCTGACCTGCCCTTCTGTACGCAGTGACCGGGGCTGAGGAGTCTTTTTCACAGAATATTTCCAGTTAACAAATGAAGGAAGGAGGACAGAATCAAAGCGTAACTGATTTTGGAATTTTCTCAGATTAACGTGACATATTTGATGGTCACCAATGGTTGCTAATATCCTAGAATAAGGGAAAAAAACAGATGGCATACATCACTAAAGCACATTGCATCACCCAGGAAGGATGTTTGTCAAAATAAATAAAGGGACTTGAACCTAAATCTCATCACACCTCCTAGACCACACTATCAATTTATAACAAATGTGAGGGACAGACAGTCATGTTGAGTAAAACCACAGATATGGCGTGAATAAAATTCAGACTGAGACCTAGAGAGAAAATATCTCATTCTCTTCACCACTAGTCATCGCCACAGGGGAAAAAAATCACAAGGAGATAAAGAGGCGGAAGGAGAATCTATAAATTAAATACAATGAAAGTCACGACAAGCAAATGCAATGTTTGGATCTTATTTGTATTTCCTGGTTAAAATAAACATATATAAATGCATATATATGCATACATATACACACACAATGTATATACAAACAGAAATCTGAGCATAGATTAAGTATTTAACCCTAAGAAATGACTTTTCTAGATGCACTTACAGTCATTCTGCCGTGGGCAGTTGTGAGTGTATCTGTGTTTATTCTGAGACCCTACCTTCTAGAGACACAGAAATGATACAATAGGCTGAGATTTGCTTCAGAACAATGTGTAATGGCAGGTGGGGATAATTAGAAAGACAGATGAAGCCGATTGGCCATGATTTGATCACTGCTGAAGCTGAGTGATGGACCTGGGAGCTCCCTTTCACACTCCACTTCTACAGCTGCCTGGAAAGCTCCGTAACAAGGTGCCTCGTGAAGGGAAAATTGATCACTTCATGTTGTAGCTACTGCAAGCATGTTTTAGGCGTGTCCTCTCCCAGCTAAAGGACAACCAGAGGGTGAGGACCTGTGGTTGGGCCGCTCCGGCTGCATCGAATCCCCTTCAGTCACCTCCTCTCTTCACTTTGCGTCCTATTTGTATTAATTACTTTTTTCATTGTTGTGAGAAAAACACCTGACTGAAGTAACAAGGAAGGAAAGGTTCATTTTGCCTTACGGTGTGAGGGGTACAGTCCACCGTGACAGGAAGGCATGGTGGCAGGAGTGTGAGGCAGGCGTGTCACATTTAGTCAGATAGCAGAGACGAAGGCTCAGCTGCTTCTTTTTCCTTTCATCCGGATAGTCTGGGATCCCAGCTCATGGGCTGGTACTCCACATTCAGGAGGGTCTTCCCTCCCCAATTAAACCTCTCTGGAACACCCCTAATGACACATCAACAGTGTGTCTCCTAGGGGATTCCCAGTCGAGGTAAGATGACAGAGAAGACTGATGTCCCCACACTGATGCTAAATCAGTCCACCAGGAGAAGCAACCATAGAAAGAACTTAATACAAACCTCCAAATGAAGGTCACCTTGTGGCCATTTACATGATGCCTCGGTACAGCTGCTCAATTGACGATGAGATTATCGATCTGCTCATAGTCTACGCTCCTGCTAATGTGAATGATAGTTTATTGTCAGCCACTTAATGGCAGTGTTTTTACTAGAGAGCTTCCTACATGTTGAGATAGCCGAGGGACTGGGATCCAAGGACGCAGAGAGGGAAAGGACAGAGGGGCCTCTCATTAGCAGTGAGTGATTTGTGCATAGCAGGCCGTTCTCATCACTGTTGTCTTCTTTAACTACAGGTATTCATCAAAGTGTTGGATAATAATGATAACGGCCCAGAATTCTCCCAGCCGAGTTATGATGTGACAGTCTCTGAAGACCTGCTTCCAGATACAGAGATACTGCAGATCGAAGCCACAGACAGAGATGAGAAACACAAGCTGAGCTATGCCATCCACAGTAGCATCGACTCCATCAGCATGAGGAAGTTCCGCATCGACCCCAGCACAGGTGTGCTCTACACAGCAGAGAGGCTGGACCACGAGGCCCAGGACAAGCACATCCTCAACATCATGGTAGGACCAGAATCCTAATTTGCCCTCCTGACAAAACCATCAACCAAACACAGCACATATCTGAGTCTTCAGAGGCCAAGGCATTCAGATTTTGTAAACAGAAATACATCTGGCCTTTACACTGCCAGGCTGCATTTGGATCTGTTCTTAGATAGCAAGTCCCTATTCTCTACCAAACCCGAAATATTAGAGAAGTTCTACAGATACTGTCTGGAAAGCTGCTGACAGATGGGTTACAGAGGAGAACAGCACACCATGTTTCCAGACTCTGGGGTGGTTTGTAGCCAGAAGACTGTGTGGAAAAGTTTAAAAGACGTCTCTTGAGAAGTTCCTCATAAAGGTGGTCATTGCACAGCTCACACATGCGCAGTCCTTGTTCAGCTACCCCAGTTTATGGCGCATTGCATTGGTGTTGGACCTACTGGTAATACTAGCAAACAAAAGAGATCTCAACACACATGCAGCCTTCAGAGACTGTCAGGTCTGAATCCTATCCACTCATAGTCCTTCAAATTATGAAGAAGTTGCTTTGCCTTTAAAGTGAGGACTGGATAATCCATACAGTAGAGAGAAAAGATGAATAAGAATTGTTTCTGATTAATTTATAGCCTATGATCTGTCCCTGTAAAGATCCAAGAACTCCTTTCGTGCACAGCCTCTGCCTATCAGAGCTCCGTTGTATTCCTTTAAGACCAGGGCAGGTAACAGAGAATTAATCTTGTGCACTGACTGGCTTTGCAAAGCACCAAAAATTATGAGTTCCCAAGCAGTTGAAATGCCAGCTACCAGCTCCTCCTTTCCCTTCACTAGAAGTCTTCCTGGGCATGAGGTAATCTGAGTGTTACACCCTCAGCTGTGGTTTCCAGATAAGACCCCGGGGACAGAATGGGCAGCTGACCGAGGCTACCTGGTGTGCTGCTCCGGCCATTCATTCATTCATTCATTCACAGATATTCTTCAGAACATACTGTGCACTGAGCACTGCTGTAAGCACTGAGATAGGCTAAGTCCCTTCACCCTTGAGACTAGCTTTCGATTGGAGCTGGATCTGCTCTCAAGAATCTCCAAACTGAGGAATTGAGCACCATCTTTGTACGTAGCAGACTAAGCTGCAGAAAGTCAGCCTGCCACACTGACCATGCTGGCTTTGCATGTTTTCTTCAAGAGCGGAAACCTCATGCTGGGACTGAGTCCATCCTCACAACTCTGCAGGCCATCTCTGCCCATTATTTTCTCAGCAAACTCACAGTCCAGTTTGGTCATCCTCTCCCGCTTCTCTGTAGCCAATAGCTTAGACGCCATCTCTGGAGGCCTCCTGAAGCCAAGCTGCCCAGTTGTTTGGCTCAGTCCTTCCTTCTAGTGACTGGTCATGAAGGCACTATCCTCTTCAACGACTCCTTTGTATATTTTCCAATTTCTTCACATTTCTCTGAAGTTAATGAAGTTTAAAAGCGAACAAGCCAAGAGAGCATGCTCCGTCAGTGCTGTGTCAGTTAACCCCAGAGCCCTGCGGCTAAAGAAGAGACGATTGTTTATAAGTTTCTTAATATGCAATTCAGGGGAGTTTTAAAGCCACTGGGCGAATTTGCCTAATAAAATCATTGAGGGGCTCAACCTAAAAAGTTGAGATTGACTGTGTCTCTCCTAGCTCTGGGCCATTCTCTCCTGAGTGTGTCATATGTCACCAACACCATCATTTTGTTGCCACTTTTTCTCGTTATTTTGTCAGGAAGTTGAGCATTTGGTGAGGTTTCTCTTCCTACTCACCCCGAGGGCATTTGTAATTCATCCCAAGCTGACTCCTAACCTCTGGGTATCAGGCCCATCCCTTGGTCCCTTGGCTTGCTTGACTCTAATCTTCCTGAAAGTGGTGAATGTCTAATTCATGACAGGACCACTAGACTTAAGCTAGAGAGCTGACATAATAAATATTAGTTGAATGAATGAATGAATGAATGAATGAATGAATGAATGGCAATGCCAACATTATATTCATTAATTCCACCCCTTAGAAGAGTCCCCAGCTAGTCTTCCATGAACAAGGTACATATACATAACAAGGGGACATGGCTGTGCTGCGTGAGGGAACCCACAGGCGAACTGGGTTTGTGCTTACCCAGTCTTCAATCAAAGACAAAGGCCGGACACCCAGGGAAACCATCCAGATGCTCTTGGCTGGCTCACAGTCACTCTCTTTCTTGGTCAAACCACCATTTGTTGAGCCAGTAGTTGTGCAGGACTGGGTCAAGCACTTTGCGTGCGTAATCTCGCATTGTCTCCATGACAGATGTAGCCCTGTGCATTCTTTGCAATTTATGTTTTCAGTCCTGCTGTTTCTTGTATTTTACCTCAAGGTCAGAGACCAGGAGTTTCCTTACCGAAGAAACTTGGCCCGAGTCATTGTGAACGTGGAGGATGCTAACGACCACAGTCCTTATTTTACCCACCCCCTGTATGAAGCCTCTGTGTTTGAATCCGCTGCTCTAGGATCGGCTGTTCTGCAAGTGACGGCTCTGGACAAAGACAAAGGGGAAAATTCGGAGCTCATATACTCCCTAGAGGCAGGTGAGAGCCCCCACTGCCGAGCCCATGTGCTGCGTGGCATCCCGCCTGGCGGCACATCCCACCATATAGTCAGATCTGCCACTGCCTCTCCAAGGGAAGGTTTTAGCCATCAACCTACCCATTTGTGTGATGATGCAACTTTATAGTTTTTGCATTTCAGTACTGATGGCAAGGGAAGCGTTTCCTTCACTGCATTCAATCTCGGCTTCTTCTGAAATGTGATGAGTTCAGTGGCCTGAACCCATAAGCCAACAAGCCATGGCCCCAGACTAAAACAACCGAAATTGCATCACCTGAGGGATGCTGGGCTGTTCTGTGAATTGAGTCTCAGGTGTATTGGTTCACTTGCCAGCAGGCGGGCTGCAGAATTTGGAAGTCTCTGAAGGCCCACCATTAGCACAGCACGCTTTGCATCCATTGGAGGCTATCTGAGCAACAGAGCAGTTTAGCTCTGGAGCCTGATCTTCTTGCTTAACCAGACAGATAATTAAGTACAGGCACTTATGTTAAATTTTAGATATTTTAGAGAGCAGCTAAAATGTATCTGTGAGACAAAAATCATAGTTTACTGATGGAGCCAAAAACCATAATAAAAATGAATTCCTGAGCCAAAGAAGGGGCTGCAAATCTAAAAATGACAAATCTCTTTTATCTTCTCAGTTTTCCTTCCCCATCTGGTCGTTTTTCAATATTCAAACTGCACATTCCCGAAGCATTCTGCAGGACCCTGCCTGCGGTGCCCGGAGCAGATGCTCCCCTTCCACCAGCAGTGGGAAGGTGCTTCTTCCCTTTACTTCAATGTGGAGCCTTTTAGAGAGCAGCTGAGTTGAAATAGATGTGCTAGGAGGCCAGTTTGGGGCAGGAAATTTGAACAAAAGAAAAGCCAGTAGCCTTCTACAGAAGCCCCTCATGGACTGACGGTGTAGACCTATGTCTGAGGTTAGACACTCAGATGTTTAAGTGGTCAGTGTTGATGTCGTAGTGTGAGAAAAGAAAACTGGTAAGATGTTGGTCTCTAATGGCCACAAGCCTCAGCAGCTCCCCTCATTACTGTTCTGGGTTTCCAGAGGTTGAAACCTATTCCGAAATGCTAGCTGATAACTCTTGCTTACCACAGAATACTGTCATTACGTCACTAAGTAATCCTTGATCTCTGCTTCCACAAATAAGGAAACTCAGAAATCAACATTTAAATGGCATCGCAGACAAGCCAGCATCTGGTCCAACACCTTTCTGTCCTCCTAGGCTTCCGTCTCACCTGCTCCTGCTCCTTTTCCCTGGACTCATCCGTGTGTGTCACCTCACGGCCTTGTAAACATTTGGATATAAGGCTTGGTCATTTTCAATCCATGTATCCCTCTGTCAACCAGCCGATTACATTTATAAGATTACTACTTTACTTTTCTTAGTCAGATGATTTTTACACCAATTTGGAGGTTCCTGAGGAATAATTTAGCTTTCATCCACCTGAAAACATTCACTTGAGTTTTTACCGCCATGACTACAGCATCAGGCTCAGTCATTTTCTTAAAAATTGACTAAAACAAAAGAGAAAAGCTATTTCCTTAAAAAACATCTTTTACATAGAAAACCTAAATTTCCAGAAAAACCACAGGAATGATTGCCATCTCGAAAAATAGCCTTTGATTGTATGTACGAGAGTCTAATGGGATTACAGTGTGCTTGCATCACGAACCTGTCACAGCTAGACAGCCCCTTCCAGACACACAGCCCTACCCTGGCCCTGGCCCAGCCACTGCAGAGCAGCCGAGCCCACTCCTTCTCAGATGATGGGAACAGACACATCCTAGAGGCTTCGGGGTGCTAAAGCAATGACAGTGTTGTGTAAAATGCTGGGTTTTATTGAACTTGTCTAGAGAACCTCAGATAAGGCAGATTTTATTCTGTGTCCCGGTGGCTGTACATTTCCTGTCTGTTGCCTCTGAAGTATCTACTGAAGCTTTTGTTTGGAAGTGAAGGACTGAGGCCAAGTTCTATAAATTTGGGATTGGGGTTTGGTGCTGTTGGTTCTAAAGCAGCAAAACAGAAGGAAACGGGGTAGGAACATCTGGATCCTACGGGCATTAAACATCAGCTTTTTATCTGACCTCCTGGTCACTCCACTAATAATACTGAGCCCTCTGCTTGTGGTACCACATAAGTGACCAGTGGAGGAGCACAGCCAGACCCATTGCCAAAAGCCTACAAGGAAGTCATAGATTCCAAGAAAACCATCAGAGGTTACTTTCCAAAGACTCACAAATGTGAATAAATAGGCAGTGGAGTCGAGTCCCAGAGAAGGATAGATATGTTGAAGAGGGAAAGAGCTAGAAGGTCCGGCCTGGACCTGACATGGAAGGACGGTCACCTGGAAGGGTGAAGGATGTGGGTTGGCTGCAAAGGGACAGCAGGACTACGGAGGTCAAGTGGAGGCCAAAAGCTGCCATGCCTTCCCTCCTGCTGTGAAAGTCTGTCGGCTTAGAGTCGGGGAGGAAAGTACCTTTACAGAAAGGGTTGGTCTTTCTAAAAGATCTTAAAGGTCATCTCGTAATTTCTCCATTGTAACTCATTTCTCCATCAATCTCTGTATTTTAGGGAACACGGGGAACACATTTAAGATCGAGCCAGTCCTGGGCATCATCACTGTTTCCAAAGAGCCAGACATGACGACCATGGGCCAGTTTGTCCTGTCAGTCAAAGCCACAGATCAAGGCTCCCCACCAATGTCTGCCACTGCAATCGTACGCATCTCTGTCACCATGTCTGATAATTCCCACCCCAAGTTCACTCACAAAGACTACCAAGCAGAGGTCAATGAAAATGTTGATATGGGAACTTCTGTCATCCTGATCTCTGCCATCAGCCAGTCGACTCTTGTTTACGAAGTCAAAGATGGAAACAATGATGGGGTCTTTACCATAAATCCGTACTCTGGAGTCATCACCACTCGGAAGGCTCTGGATTACGAGCATACCTCCTCCTATCAACTCATCATCCAGGCCACTAACATGGCGGGCATGGCTTCCAATGCCACGGTCAGTGTCCAGGTTATAGATGAAAACGATAACACCCCAGTGTTTCTCTTTTCTCAGTACTCGGGCAGCCTGAGCGAGGCTGCCCCCATCAACAGCATCGTCAGGAGCCTGGATAACAGCCCACTGGTGATCCGAGCCACCGATGCCGACAGCAACCAGAACGCACTACTGGTATACCAAATTGTAGAGGCCACAGCCAAGAAGTTCTTCACAGTGGACTCCAGCACAGGGGCCATCAGGACAATAGCCAACCTAGACCATGAGGCCATTGCACATTTCCACTTCCACGTGCACGTGAGGGACAGTGGGAACCCCCAGCTGACGGCAGAGAACCCTGTGGAGGTCAACATCGAGGTGACAGATGTGAATGATAACCCTCCAGTCTTCACTCAGGCTGCGTTTGAGACTGTCTTACTTCTCCCCACCTACGTTGGAGTGGAGGTTCTGAAAGTTAGTGCCACAGACCCGGACTCTGAGGTGCCTCCTGAACTGACATACAGCCTCATGGAAGGCAGTGCAGATCATTTTCTAATGGACTCAAACAGAGGAGTGCTCACCATAAGAAACAATAACCTCTCCAAAGATCACTACATGCTGATAGCCAGGGTGTCTGATGGGAAGTTCTACAGCTCTGCCATGGTCACCATCGTGGTTAAAGAAGCCTTGGACAGTGGCCTCCACTTCACACAAAGCTTTTACTCCACCTCTATCTCAGAGAACAGTACAAACATAACCAAAGTTGCTATTGTCAATGCAGTTGGAAACCGCCTTAATGAGCCCTTAAAATACAGCATCTTAAACCCAGGAAATAAATTCAAGATAAAATCTACCTCAGGGGTCATTCAGACCACGGGAGTGCCCTTTGACCGTGAAGAACAGGAATTGTACGAGTTGGTGGTAGAAGCCAGCCGAGAGTTAGACCATTTGCGAGTGGCGAGGGTGGTGGTCAAGGTTAACGTTGAGGACGTCAACGATAACGCTCCTGTCTTTGTGGGCCTCCCTTACTATGCCGCCGTGCAGGTTGATGCTGAGCCCGGGACTCTGATCTACCAGGTGACAGCCATCGACAAAGATAAAGGTCCCAATGGAGAGGTGACCTACGTCCTGCAAGATGACTACGGCCACTTTGAAATCAACCCTAATTCAGGGAATGTGATTTTAAAAGAAGCATTCAACTCTGACCTGTCCAACATTGACTATGGGATCACCATCCTCGCCAAGGATGGTGGAAGTCCACCTCTTTCCACATCTGTGGAACTGCCCCTCACCATTGTGAACAAAGCCATGCCTGTATTTGATAAGCCCTTTTATACAGCATCCATCAAAGAAGATGTCCCCATGGACACCCCCATTCTCAGCATCAATGCCACCAGCCCTGAAGGCCAGGGCATCATATACCTCATCACTGATGGGGATCCCTTCAAACAGTTTAATGTCGACTTCGACACTGGGGTCCTGAAAGTCATCGGTCCTTTGGATTATGAAGTTACGTCTCTTTATAAGTTGACAGTGAGAGCCAGTGATGCTCTTACTGGTGCCAGGGCTGAGGTGACCGTGGACCTGCTAGTGGATGACGTCAATGACAACCCTCCTGTTTTTGACCAGCCCATTTACAATACAACATTATCTGAATCATCTCTCATTGGGACACCTGTCCTGCAAGTTCTCTCTACTGATGCAGACTCAGAAAACAACAAAATGGTGCATTATCAGATTGTCCAAGATACCTATAACAGCACAGATTTCTTCCATATAGACAGCTCAAGTGGCTTAATCCTGACAGCCAGGATGCTGGACCATGAGTTGGTACAAGACTGCACTTTGAAAGTCAGAGCAACAGATAATGGCTTCCCATCTCTGAGCAGCGAGGTCCTGGTGCAGATCCACATCTCTGACATCAATGACAACCCCCCAGTGTTTAATCAGCTCATTTATGAATCCTATGTGAGTGAATTAGCCCCTCGGGGTCATTTTGTAACCTGTGTACAAGCCTCAGATGCAGACAGCTCTGACTTTGACCGGTTGGAATACAGCATTTTATCCGGGAATGACAGGACCAGCTTTCTGATGGACAGCAGGAGCGGCATCATCACACTGTCCAGCCACCGGAAACAGCGCATGGAGCCTCTGCATAGTCTCAATGTGTCTGTGTCTGACGGGCTGTTCACCAGCACTGCCCAGGTGCACATCAGGGTCCTCGGGGCCAACTTGTATAGCCCTGTCTTTTCACAAAGCACATACGTAGCTGAAGTAAGAGAGAACGCACCTGCTGGGACCAAAGTCCTCCACGTCCGAGCCACAGATGGGGACCCAGGAACCTATGGCCAGATCAGCTACACCATCATCAATGACTTTGCCAAGGATCGATTCCTCATAGACAGCAACGGGCAGGTCGTGACGACAGAAAGACTAGACCGAGAAAACCCTCTGGAGGGAGACGTTAGTATTTATCTGAGGGCTCTGGATGGTGGAGGGAGAACCGCATTCTGTACTGTGAGGGTGATCGTGGTGGATGAGAATGACAACACCCCTCAGTTCATGATGGTGGAATACAGAGCCAGCGTCAAGGCGGATGTGGGAAGAGGCCATTTGGTCACTCAAGTTCAAGCTGTGGATCCAGACGACGGAGCAAATTCCAGGATTACCTATTCTCTCTACAGTGAGGCCTCAGTCTCAGTGGCTGACCTCCTGGAAATCGATCCTGACAATGGCTGGATGGTGACCAAGGGCAGTTTTAACCAGCTGAGAAATACAGTACTGTCCTTCTTTGTGAAAGCAGTGGACGGGGGCATCCCAGTCAGGCACTCCCTCATACCTGTCTACATCCATGTGCTGCCCCCTGAAACGTTCCTGCCTTCATTTACCCAGTCTCAGTATTCCTTCACCATTGCAGAAGACACAGCTATTGGAAGCACCGTGGATACCCTGAGGATTCTGCCCAATCAGAGTGTCCGGTTCAGCACAGTAAATGGAGAACGACCAGAGAATAACCAAGGGGCCGTGTTCATCATAGAACAAGAAACAGGTACTATCAAACTGGACAAGCGCCTTGACCACGAAGTCAGCCCAGCTTTCCACTTTAAAGTAGCAGCTACCATCCCCTCAGACAAGGTAGACATTGTGTTCACTGTGGATGTGGACGTGAAGGTGCTGGATCTGAATGACAACAAGCCAGTCTTTGAAACGTCAAGCTATGACACCATCATAATGGAAGGGATGCCTGTCGGCACCAAGCTCGCCCAGGTGAGAGCCATCGACATGGACTGGGGAGCCAATGGGCAGGTCACTTACTCCCTGCACTCAGATTCCCATCCTGAAAAGATAACAGAAGCGTTCAGTATTGACAGCAACACGGGATGGATCAGTATGCTGAAGGACCTGGACCACGAGACAGACCCCGCAGTCTCCTTCTCCGTGGTGGCTTCCGACCTTGGAGAGACTTTCTCTCTTTCTTCCATGGCTTTGGTCTCTGTCAAGGTGACAGATATAAATGACAATGCACCAGTCTTTGCCCATGACGTGTACCGAGGGATCGTAAAGGAGAGCGACCCGCCGGGGGAGGTGGTAGCCGTTCTTAGCACCCTGGATAAAGACACTTCTGACATAAATCGCCAAGTGAGCTACCATATTACAGGTAAGTCTTTTCATACGGTTTTACTGTGTGCTCTGCTGACTGAAGACGGGGGTGGTGGCAACCGTGACAGAAGGACAAGCGGGGACTGGATGTGATGAAGCTTCTGGCTGGGAATGAGGTGTCTGAGTAGAACTGTCCTCATCTGGGTCTTCGTTCAACTGTGTTCTACAGCATTCTTACGTAAATTGGCACCAGTCTTAGAGTCCGTCCTTACCACCGTGCAGAGGAATGAGCCACGAATGAGCCAAATATTTTAACTGAAGAAATCAAAATCATAGCTCTTTTCAGTGGGAAGAGATGTTTTTAAACTGTAATCCCTTTTCTTCTTAGTGCTAAAAAGTGTATGATCCCGGTCAGTTTCAAATGTTAGTTCTATAATGACATACATATGTAAATTAGAAGTCACAGATTGACCTTCTGCTGATAAATCCTAAATTATACCGCAAAACCAAAGGATATTTCTTCCAAAAGCCTGTTTTCATGGAGCCCTTTTCTGTCCTCCCCAACAAGTTCAACAGCGAGGTCACCCGAGTGCACAGAAATGCCACATTGCCCTGTGGGGCTGTGGGATTCACACCAGAGTGGAAAGGTGGTCTGTCCCCTGCTTGGGGCAGCTCTCTGGGGTGACCAAGTTCCAGCAATGAAGAGGAAAGTATCAGTAGTACGGGGAGAAATGGGGGCTGTCTTCCTAAAGCCATGTGGGCTGGAAGCTAAAATTTTGATGCTGTGACTTTCAGGGCCAGAACACAAGGCAAGTGCTGAAAGAGTTTAAACAACCCATCGGTGCTTGTAGTCAGGTGGTTCTCCCTTTAGAAAATCTACGTTATTCTGAGTGAAAAACGAATTAATTAGAATGCCCTTAGGACGCTGAATCTGCTTAAGTACGTTAGTGGAAAAGTTAATTAATCACTGCAGAATAAGATCCACAGTAGAGCAAGCGAACACGTGATGCCGGGGATTGCCACACAGCCCTGGCTCTTCTCTTCTTCTAACAGACTGTCTCCTGATGGCATTTCCTGTTCAGGAACACTTGATGTGTTTTATGTTTCTCTAATACCTATCTTTTCCCATTAAAATATGTATTTCTGTAGTTAAAATCTAAAACGTTGTGGTAGAGACAGGGAGAATGGACCAAGGCTCTCAGCCCTTTGCATTTAGTTTCAAGGAGAAAAAGACATTGTGAGGGATCCTTTTGTATTTGGAAGAATTGTTAAATACCCAGCCTTAATTATTTCCACATAGTCTCTGAATTCTCAATAGATGATTTAAAAGACCAGCCCGTCGACTTCACCCAAATAATGAGCACTGAGTAGCTTAAAGCTACTGTTACTATTAGTAGGGCCAACCGCCGACCGATTTTAATTAGATTTAAGTTTTGCTCTTGATGTAGCACAAGTTGACTCTGCTGCCTCAGAGTAACAAAGGACCATTAATCATTTTATGTAACAAAGAAATGGTGTGGGCCTGCCTACACAGAAAGCATTTAATAGAGAGGTTAAATCTGTGTGCAGTGAAATAATATTCAACTAAAGCACAATTGAATCCTAGCCAGCGGTGGTGGAAAGTGATATCCAAGGAGGGTTTTCTCAGTCGCCACCACTGACATCTGAGGCTGGATAGGTCTGTCTTGTGGGAGACTGTTCTTTGTAAATTGTTAGGCGTTTAACTGCCAGAGTTGGACCCCAAACCCACTAGATTCCAGTAGCACATAGAATCACTGCCATCCTGTGATAAACAAAATGTCTTCATGTGCTGGAAAATCCTCCAGAAATTGGGCACCGTTTCCCCGTGAAGAACCAGTGCCCTGGAGGAGTAGTGAGCCTTCTGTATGAGTTGGGTCATTTCTCCTGTGGTTTCCCCAAAATACAGAGACCCAGGGACTGACCATCTCCCCCCGAGGGCACTGGGACTCAGTTCTATCTCATCCCACAAGGTCTCCTTGCAGACGCACAGTGTTTGCCCTTTGATGGTGGTTACTGTTTAAGATTGTTTATACGAAAGCGAGCTGGTTCCAGCCTTACAGTGAAGTGCTTTTCTTATCTTTTGTTTATTGTGTTTAAAGATAAATTTGGAAACATTCGTTTGTTGGTTTTTCGAGACAGGGACAAGGTCTTACTATGAGACCCAGTCAGGCCTCAAACTCATGATCTTCCTGTCTCCCCCTCACAGTGCCGGCTTCACGGGTGTGTATTCCAAGCCTGGCTTCACATCAAAATTTTGAACAATTTATTCAACAAAGGGGAAATCGTGAATTGAGCAGCTCCAGGGTGTTCAGGGCACTGTCAAAGGGGGTGTGAGAGGAAGATGCTTATAAGACGCTCATGCAAGAGAAACCGAAAAAGTATTTTATGGGTTAAGGTTGAACAGTAACTTTCTAGTTCCCAGCAGAGACTAGTTGGTGAGTTCTTAGTTGGTAAAGGTTAAGTTTCAGTTTATCATTTATACCAGATAGGGGTTGGTTACAGCCACAGGAGCCCAGGGCACTGGTGTCACCTCAGCTTAATGGCCTCCTACTTGGCTATCTCATCTGTTGATGACCTTCCTCTCTATTACTTGAGCCT